AAATATATAATATATTTTATAGAAATTATGATAAAAAATTAATATTTTTTAGTAATAATAAAAATTTTACAAGGTAATAAATAATATTTATAATAATAATATATATATTTATATTTAAATAAACTAAATAAAATGAAATTAATATAAAAAGAAAAGACAAGACAAGAAAAGCACAAAAAAACAAAAAAGAAACAAAACAAAATGATTACATAGGGGATTAGGGGTGGCATTAGCAAAGAATAGGGGTGCCATTAGCCACCCCCTTAAATTTTAGAGGTTTATTTTAAAGGAGGTTTTTATGTTAATTTTTTAATAAAATGATAATTTTCAACAAATATTAACTCTCAATGTTTTATACAACGGTAATAAAGAAAATAAGAAAAAAAATATTTATATAATTGTTTTTTGTTTATCATAAAAGTTTAAAGTTAACCACAAGGGTAGTACCTGATTGGTTTGAGCTTGAACTCCAAAGATCAAAAGTACTTGGAGGTCTCATGTTCAAATCTAAAAAGGAATAAAAATCCCCTTGTGGCCATGGATGTTCAAATGTTGTGATTCCGGGCTACCCACAAAGCAGATGGTCAACCTGGGATTAGTCGGCTCGTATAACGGGTTGGATATCCAGGTTAATGAAAAAAAAGAAATTTAAAGTCGTTTACCTTCTTCTTATTGGATAAAAAAAGTAAACTCACGGTGTATCATTTTTTTGTCAGCATTCCTCAGACGTCAAGAAAACTTTTTGAACCCTAAGAAAGAGAGCTAACAAACTCGAGCATTACGACTTGTAACATGACAATCAGTACATTTGGGAGTTGAATAAGATATACAAGTTTCAATAGTACAAAACTTAGTACTATTAAAAATACTGATATTTTTTATTCTGTTTTAAAAGATTATTTTCCATAAGTTTTAATCAGCATTTATGTTTTTTATTTGTTGGTTTGATTCTGTTTACACTTTTCAATATTTATCAATTTATAAAAGCAAATAATTTTATTGATAACTTTTCCATACTTCAACACCTCTTAGAAAACAAACATCTGGTTTGAAGACTGTAAACATAAAACACAAGAAAAACAACAAATTTCATTTCTCTTTTTAATTTTGGAGATTTTGTTGGAAATGTCATAATACATATTTTAGATTAGATAAAACAAGCTTTTATTTAGTTTAACAGATTTGGCTCTAATTAAATCACCAAAACATTCTTTAAAAACGCGATCGTCAGATAAATCTATAAAATTCTTTTTGAAATAGACAAAATATGAATTTAATTGTTTTTACTTTTTCTGGAAGAGAGATAAAATATATTAACCTGTAAAGTTTATTTCCTGAACTATCTTTTTATAAAAAAAGATTGTTCAGAGATATTAAATGCATTTAATATTTTAATAATATAATTAATGATACGGGATATTTTATTTGATACACATAAAATTGTGATAACTAATAATCATGAAAATTGGTGAATCATATTCTATTTCACATGATTTTTTTTATATATGGCTTGAACTTAATATATTAATTAACACATATTTGTTTTACAATTAAATGTTTTATATATAATTTATCTTAAAAATACGAAGTTTATATGTAATTTAACTTATATTTTTTTAATTTATAAAGAAATTACTGATGATTGGAGGCCCTGTGCAACGGCACCATCTCACACACCCTTAGACACGGCCCTGAAATTTAATAAGCAAAAATTACTAATAATTATATAATGAAAATAAAATAATTAAGGAAAAACTTTAAAAAGGTTGTAAATTAGAAAAAAATCAAAATACAAAATTCAATTTTTTACCATGTTTAATTTCAGAAAGGAACACTTCCATGGGCATGGGTTATGTACATTTTTAAGATGTCAAATTTATCTCCAATTAATTACAGTTTTCTAAAAGAAGTAAAAACGCTTTAAATATGTATTTTAAATGAATTTTATGCTTAACAACACGTTAAATGCATGCCAGATGATTTAATAGCATCTTCAGTATATATATATATATATACACACACACACACACATTTTTCGTTTTGTCCTCTTTTAAATCTGAAGAATTTTTTATTTTCTTTATTTTATAGGAGAGTTTAGTATAACTGTTGGAACAAATATTTTCGTAATCTCTAAAATTTCTAAAAGATTATAACTGTTGGAGATGTTTTTAAAGTCCATGTTAGTTAATTAGTCATCATTTGTCGTTAGGAAACAAAAAGTATCGGATTAGGTTGTTATTAATGTCATGATGACCCTCATATGTTAGGCGTTTTTGGTGAAAATAAGCTACTTTATTTTCTGGTTACATGTTTGGATGCATATAAGCTAGTTTATTGAAACGTTAATTGGAGTAGCGTTTTGAAAGTTTGTTGTTACTTTTTCCAATTATAACCTTGATTAATATTAGTATTACTTGTTCATATTAATTATAAATAAATAATAATAAGAGTTAAATATCATTAATATCAATTAATATA